GGTTCAAGCAATTCTCCTGCCTCAGCCTCCCGAGTAGCTGGGATTACAGGTGCCCACCACCACGCCTGGCTAATTTTTGTATTTTTAGTAGAGACAGGATTTTGCCATGTTGGTCCGGCTGGTCTGGAACTCCTGACCTCAGGTGATGTGCCTGCCTTGGCCTCCCAAAGTGCTGGGATTACAGTCGTGAGCCACCGCGCCCGGCCTGTTTTTACATTTTTAATATTTGTTTAGCAATTTTTGGCATTGGGAGTTGAGAGGGCAGAATTATAGGTGTGCTTGCGCCTCTAGTTGGAATGCACGTCTCTCGGTATCTTAGTCTGTGCTGTTATGACAAAATACCTGAGACTGGGTAATTTATAAAGAACAGAAATTCATTTTCTCACAGTTCTAGAGGTAGGAAGTCCAAGATGAAGGTGCTGGCAGGTTCAGTGTCTAGCAAGGGCCACTTTCTTCTTCCAAGGTGGTGCCTTGTTACTGCATCCTCACACGGTAAAAAAGCCAGGTTGTGTGAAGCCTCTTTCACTAGGGGCTTAATCCTATTCACGAGAGAAGCTCTCATGACCTCATCACCTTCTAAAGGCCCCACCTCTTAATATGCTGTATTGGAGGTTAAGTTTCAGTATGAGTTTGAGAGGGACACAAATATTCAAACTTACAGGAGGCATGCTGATTGGGAAACACCAGTGCTTCCTCCTCCACTGAGGGGCCTTCTCCAGGTCTCCACACTCAACCCTGTCACATTCCGAAAGCCGGAGAGTCCGCATCTCCAACACCACTTTGGTTTCCTGTGCCCAGACTACCAAACTACATGGATTTTTAGTTCAGGTTTATTCTCAACTAGGGAGATCCAAAGTCAGGAGCCAAAATGAAGGGAGATTGCAGACCCAGTTCGTCCTGGTGACTGTTACCATCTGAATTGATTTCTCACTGACCCTAAGTAAAACTGAGGGTCATTGTGAAGGATCTGGTATCTTCTCTCTTCTCACGATGAAAATGAGAATGACCCCTTGAAGTGTTTGTCCTTCACACACTTTTTTGTTAGGGAAGAACAAAGATTTTGTTCAGAGATCTCTATTGTGGACGGTAAGCCTCATTCCCACCATCCTAGACTGATTTTCCCCCTCTGTGAGTGCACAGATGCCTCATTACTAACCACAGTCACAGAGCAAGGTAAGCAAGTCAGGTTCAGATCAAATTAAAGATGCTGCTCTCTCTACACAAGTGTTCAAAGTTTTACGTTTTACCTACCCCGAGGCAAGCCATATGAGGACACCGTCTGGGTTGGCTCACCCTACATGGGAGGACCAGCTCTTAATGGTTCAACTGGAGCCTTTCTCTCTGTGGTTCCAACTGGCCATATAGCCCTTCCTTCTTCATGAAAGCTGGACGGTTCCAAGTAAATGTAGGAATAGAATCCGATCCATCTCCAGTGGCTGAAATGGCTTCTGTCATGTCTTGGTTCATTCTGATGGTAACCCTCAGAACTGAGGCTGGCTGGGCGCAGTGGCTCACGCCTGTAATCCCAGCACTTTGGGAGGCTGAGGCAGGTGGATCACTTGAGGTCACGAGTTCAAGACCAGCGTGCCAACATGGTGAAAACCCGTCTCTACTAAAAATACAAAAATTAGCCAGGTGTGGTGGTACATGCCTATAGTCCCAGCTACTTGGAAGGCTGAGGCATGAGAATTGCTTGAACCCAGGAGGCAGAGGTTGCAGTGAGCCAAGATTGTGCCATTGCACTCCATCCTGGTCAACAAAGCAAGACTCTGTCTCATAAAAAAAAAAAAAAAAAAAAAAAGAACTGTGAAGTCTCAGTGCCACAGCTCTGTGGTAAAGGATTGCTGCTTGCTTTAAAAGTTGGGCCATTTCCAAATTATGCACGCACAGGAATCACCTGGGAGCTTGTTGAAAATGCAAATTCTTTGGCCTCTACTCCCAGAGACCAGTTCAAAGGTCGTACCCCGGAATCTGCCTTTATCCCCCTGTGCACTGAAGTCAGCTTTTGTTTCTTGCTTCTGTTACACGGCAGTCTCAGGGCAGCTGTGGTTCTGCCCTACACATCTACATTGCAGCCTCCAGGCTGAAGGAGCAGCTCTAGTTAGACCAGAAATCTGTACTTTCAACAGCAATTCTGGTGATTCTGAATCACACCTTGAGCCATACTGCCTTAAGTCATTTTATGTATTTTTTTCTTTTTTTTCTTTTTTAACAGAGTCTTGCTCTGTCACCCAGGCTGGAGTGCAATGGCGCAATCTTGGCTCACTGCAACCTCTGCCTCCCGGGTTCAAGCAATTCTCCTGCCTCAGCCTACCGAGTAGCTGGGATTACAGGCACACACCACCATACCTGGCTAATTTTTGTATTTTTTTGGTAGAGATGGGGTTTTGCCATGTTGTTCAGGCTGGTCTCCAACTCCTGAGCTCAGGTGATTCACCCACCTCGGCCTCCCAAGGTGCTGGGATTACGGCGTGAGCTACCACACCTGGCCTGCCTTAAGTCATTTTAAAGGCTAGTAAATAGAATTAAGCACTCGTTTCTGTCAGACAAATAATTTCATTGCACATCTAAAGCCTCCAAAGATAATGTCCTTTATTCTGCTAATTTTCTAGGTGTTCACAGATTCCCCTCCTGTTTGATTACAAATTCTACTAGCAAATGACACCTGCCACAGTAGAACTGCTTAGCATCCTTTACTAATAGGATTATAGCTCACATTTGTGGAGCTCTTGTATATACCAGGCACCATGCTAAGCAGTTCACATTGATAATCCTATTTCTTCTGCTATGATATAAACAGGGTTCCACTCTGTGGCCTAATAGGGGCAGCAACAACTCTGATGACCTCTAAGAACTCAGCCCTGTCACTCTTGCCTTTAGGTGGCTGCTTGGCAGTCCCCAGTGACTTTCTCTAAGGACCCTGAAGCAAGCTTTTCTCCTAAAGTAATTGTACTCGATTTTTCTACGTGCTGCAAATATTTTCTTCCATATCTGTCATTTGTGTTTTAACCTTGATGTTTTCCATCACACAGAGACTTTTGATATTTTTTGGTGCAAAATCTGCTTATCTTTTCCCTTATTATATCTTTTAAGTCTCATGTTAAAGTTTAGAAAAGACTGTCCCACACCAGAAGTATAAATTTTTTTTGAGTAATTTTGTATATTACTTAAGTATATCTGTAATTAAGTGTATCTTCCCTCTGGAACTAATTTGTATGGACACTGTGAGGTAGAGACCTAACTTACTTTGTGGTTTTTTTTTTTTTAGATGGAGTCTTGCTCTGTCGCCCAGGCTGGAGTGCAGTGGTGCGATCTAAGCTCACTGCAACCTCTGCCTCCCAGGTTCATGTGATTCTCCTGCCTCAGCCTCCCGAGTAGCTGGGATTACAGACACATGCCACCATGCCTGGCTAATTTTTGTATTTTTAGTAGATACGGGGTTTCGCCATGTTGGCCAGGCAGGTCGAACTCCTGACCTCAAGTAATCCACCTGCCTTGGCCTCCCAAAGTGCTGGCATTACAGGCGTGAGCCATCGCACCTGGCCGAGATCTAGCTTTGACAGCTAGTTGTCTCAAAGTACTGTTTATTAAATAATCCACCTTTTTCCCCACTTAAAACATCCCTCTTACCATATACTAAATTCCTGTAGCCCTGGGTCTGTTTCTGGACTCTCCTGTCTGTCTGACGCCCTCCAGGTCACACCTGAGGTAATGGTGGCATGAGAGTTCTCTGGGAACCTGGCAGGACGTGTGCCTTTTCCCCCTCAGCAGTCCACCCCCCACTCATTATCATTCAGAGTAGTCTTAGTGTTCTCACACATTCACTCTCCCAAATGCACTTTAGAACTGTCAAATTCCAAAGTACCAATCTCATTGGAATTATACTGAATTTATCAGCTGATGTGGGGAAAACCAGTATGTGGACAGGAACATGATGTATATCATTGGGTCGACTTACAGAATACTCTTAACAGGTCTTCAGTTGATTCTTAGGTTTTACAGGTAGGCAGTTTTATTGTCTACAAATAATGACAATTATAATTCTTCCTTATTTTCCTCATTTGGCTTGTTGCAGGGGTTAGTAGTGCCGGGACATTGCTGAATAATAGCATGCCCTTGGCTAGTTTCTGACTTTAATGAGAATGCCTGTGGCGTTTGACTCTTCAGAATGCCAGTAACTGTTGGTTTCTGAAACAGACCTTTATCTAGATTAGGGTGTTTCTTTCCAGACTTAATTTACTAAGAGTTTTAATAAGGGATGGATTTTAAATCTTACCAAATTATCTTTTCAGCATCTATAGAGCTATCATAAAATTTTCTTTATTAATTGAAGCTGAAATGAAGGCTCCTGCGCAGCCATACTGCCTCCTCATATACTCTACATATCCCTAGTCCCCTGTGCCAGTAACTGAACACCTCTGCAGGATAGACCAAAGGTGAAGCTTTAAGGCCTGCCTGCTAGGCGTGATGCTGAACGCCTTCTCAAGCTGCCCAAGCACATAGGGTCTTGGAGGCTTTCCTTTCCAGAGAAAGAAAGCAGGACCAATCCCCACCCCCTGCCATAATAAGAGCGAGCTCTTGGGGACAGCAGTGTACAGAGCATAGAAGCCAAAGAGGATTCAGGCAGAGTGGAGGACCCCATGCCCCTGCCACCACCCCACAAATCAGTACATAGGCCAAGTGCCTAGTTTGCCAGGGGTCTTGCTACCTGAAGTGACCTATGACCTCTGGCCATGACAATCTCTAGCGAGTCCTTCCTGCCACTCTGCAGCCTCTTAGCCAATGCATGCAGGCCAGGCGGCACTTACAGCAAAGCCATCACAGAAAGCAGCGAGGCCGTCAGACTCCTAGGAGAAACAGTGATTCCTTCTACTGCTCCACCCCCATTGCTAACTCTGGGTCCCCATCCCTGTCCTCCCAGAGTCACTCTGATCCTGCTCATCACACCAGGACATGGAGTCTCTACGTAACCACAGGATTCCCTTAGAGCTGGCTGTTGCCCACGGTGACCCTGATGCCAGGCTGTTACCCACTTAGCCTCCGTCTTCTGTCTGCTTCCACTTCTCCTATATCCCCTTTTGGAAAAAGGATGGGTGCCTGAGCCTGTGCCCAGTTGGGTGTCCACTCACAACCCGAAGCAGAGCCTGGCACTGCCCACTCTGACCAAGGGCCTTCTCTCCCTGATCTCACTGACATCTGCCCTATTTACCCATCACTGGGTTTGTGGGTTGCCCCCAAAACACAGCAGCAGCAATAAACAGAAAATGAGGGCAGAGCCCAGTGTGTCACAGTTCTGGGAGGCAGATCGGGATGGGATACCCATGTGGCCTGTCCAATGATCTTCATGTTAAGAGGACATCTCTGTAAATGAATTTTCTCTTCAGGCCACAAGAAGCCCTAACCCAAGCGGAGGCGAAAGGTAGCAATCTCCATGGGCTCCAAATAGACGTCAGTGCTGTTGGATGGGGAGGCCAGAGGGTACAGCAATGTCAAGGAGGTTGGCTGAAGGAATACTACGTCCAGGCCATGGAAAAGGCTCCCCAGGGCTACCTGTGGAGAGGAGAGAAGGTGCAGGGTTGTGCTGGGTGCCGAGACACTAAAGAATGCAGCTGTTCATCTACAATTTGTTAACTCTTTAAGAATCTCAGCCAGGTGCAGTGGCTCACACCTATAATCCCAGCACTTTGGGAGGCAGAGGCAGGTGGATCACCTGAGGTCAGGAGTTCGAGAGCAGCCTGGCCAACATGGTAAAACCCAGTCTCTACTAACAATACAAAAATTAGCTGGGCGTGGTGGCAGGCGCCTGTAATCCCAGCTACTCGGAAGGCTGAGGCAGAAGATCCCTTGAACTGGAAGGTGGGGGTTGCAGTGAGCTGAGATCATGCCACTGCACTCCAGTTCCGGCTGGCCCCTCTCAGCAACACCACAGCTTCTTACACATGAGTGTGCATCCAGTATCATGGGCTTGCTGAGATTTGCTCAACCCTAAAGCCTGCCTACAGATCTCCAGGTAAGAATCGTTCCACTGAGCTGTGAGCTCTGTGAGAACAGTGACCATGTCTTGGTTCACTTCTGAAACACTGGAGCCCAGCAGAGGACCTGGTGCCCGGGGACATTTATCAGTGCCGGCTGATATGAGCTTACAAAGTAACTAACAGGATGGGTTCTGGTTTTCTATTTCTGGTGTTTTCTACTTTGCCTGACAGAGGTCCCTGCTCAGGGAACAACAGTTCTCAAGTGATCTGCCTTGTCTGGAACTTCCCCTGCTAGGCCTCGGGAGCTCTGAAAACATGTCCACAGCTTCCCCGCTTCTCTCCAGAAAGCCCTAGAGTGACACTTTCTTCTCCCAGCCTGTCACTGAATCTCAGCCCAGCTCACGCCTGCCGTTCCCAGGTGTTCTGCTTCCCCACCCTACTCACCTTGCCTTGGCTTGTGGTGCAATTGAAGCCCAAGTTCTTGGCCTCCAGGCCGCAGTCAAAACCCTTGCGGTGTAAGATGAGTGCCATCTCCGCTGAGGGCAGGGTGTCCTCCTGGATGACAGACAGTGCCCAAGGAAGTGGGTGCAGGGCTTTCAGAGATTGGAGATGCAGCAGCACCTCTGCCCAAAGGCAGTGCTGGCACAGGGAGGCATGTGGGTAAGAAAAGACCAGAACCTGGTCCTGGAGGTTCAGAGCCGAGTACCTGCTAAGGGGTCTGGACTTTATCCTGGAGGCTAAGGAAGGAGCTGAGCAGGCAAGGACACCATCAGAACTCTGCTCTCAGCGTGTCACACTGAGGGACACTCACCTCAGCCTGCAGCGTACGTAGGTTGAGCAGGTGGAAGTCACAAGGCAGTGAGGAAGCCAGAGGATGAAATGAGCGCAGACCAGGGCCTGGGAGCTGCGTCCTGGCTACAGGCAGAGCGAGCGCCGGGGTGTTCAGGTACATGGAGGTCAGGTGGCTGAGGAGGGATGGGTAGCTGGTAGAGTGGCTATCTTGGACCTGCAAGATTGACCCGAGATATTGGTGAGGGACTGAAGCCAGGCTGAGGGGAGAGGATGAGGCAGGATAAAAGCACACCCAGGTCAGTTCCTTTGGAAAGAGCTTTCCTGGTGTGCCTGGACTCAAGGGCGTGCCTGGCTCCAGGCGAGGTTCCCCTAACCCTTCAAGTGTGGACATTTGCCATCTCACCCAACTCGGAGGGCTATTTCACTACGCCGTTTCTTTTCCACGTTTTAGTTTCTTGTTCACATAACACTATCATGAGCAACCCACTCCCATCAGCCATATCTCCCCTCACACACAGATCCACAGTGCAGGGAGGATGGCAGACAGGCAGACGCAGGCCTCACCATGGAGCACGGGCCTCCAATCCAGAGTGCTCGGGGTAATTCTGTGGCTTCATGCGTGACACCACATCCACAGTGCCAGCCGGGCTCTCAGGCCCAGCGCTGCTGGGGCTCTGCCAGCAGGGTTACTCCTTAGCAGCTCACCTGGACGTCAGACTCACAGGCCTGGGCTGAATATTCTGGACTTCTGTCCCTGGCGTCCCCCTCCTTCCAAGCGCCCAGCATCTCTCACTTCCCTCTGCATTCCCAGGTAATGCTAAACCCTCTTCCGTCTCACCTCGACAGTGTCCTCATAGCCACCTCCAACTTCTCCAGCCTCTGGCCTAGTTCAAGCAGCCAGCATGTCCTGCCTGAACAGCCTCACACTGTCACCCTCCTCCAGTCTCCCTTCCCACAGGTCCAACCTGCTCCCTACTGTCAGCGTGACATGCTGAGAGCAGAGTTCTGATGGTGTCCCTCCTTGCTCAGCTCCTTCCTTAGCCTCCAGGATAAGGTCCCGACCTCTTAGCAGGCACTCAAGGTGCTCTGCCACCTGCCCTGATCTCCTCCCAGCACTCTAGCCCAGCACCAGCCAAGAGGGCATTCTGCAAGGATGGGAATATGTGACACCACATGGTCTAATACAGCAGTCACTTAGCCACTTGTGGCCACTGAGAACTTGAAGTGTGGCCAGTGGAATAAGAAAGCAAATTTTTTACTTGATTTAGTAGTATTTAAATAGCCACATAGGGCTACTGGCCACCGTACTGGACAGTGTAGTTCCAGTGTAACTAAGGAACTCACTGCTGTTCCCCAGCCTGCTGTCTTTCCTGCCTCCTACCCTGTGCCCTGGTTCACATCTTCAAATCACACCCCCATTCATCAAAGCCACACCTGGGTGACACCTCCTCGACCTCAATCTCCTTAGCCCACATTATTACCTTGCTCCTCGGGATCAGTGAGACAGAGCCCTTTTCTACCTTGCATTTTTATACACATGGCTTCTCTGCCACCCCTACTCACGAGTAAAATCCTGGGAGAGTCAGTACTGTCTGCACTTATGTCCCTCTGGGTGTCACAGTAAACCAGGTGCTCAATATCTATCTGATGCACGAGTGACTGAGCGGCGGGCTCTGTCACCTGGGCTCCGGCGCAGCTATGCCTTGCTCGTACTAGTTCCCCGCTCCCAGAGCCGACCCCTTACCTCTCGGTTACCGCTCCTGCTGCTGTGAAAGATCAAGCCCCTAAACATGGCTGCCAGTTTGGAGAAAAAGTCAGGCTGGTGGGGCAAAGAAAGCCATGAGATGAGCAGGGTTGGAGCACAGGCTTACAGAATGCTGGGACAGGGCAGAGGATGGCAGCACAGAGGAAGGTGGGAGATGAACATGAGGGGCACAGGCGACAGGGCGCTGCTGGGAAAGGAAGGTGCCAGGCTGCGTGAGATGGGACACAAAACGCCAGACTGCCTCCCCCAACCCCAGGAATTCAGCCCTACTCTCTCTCCCTTGTCCACCTCTAGCTACGTTCCTCGAGCCCTAGGCTGGACCCCCCAGGCCACCCCCAGGGACTAGCTAGACCTGGCTCCCTGTGTGTCAGCCCCAGGTGTTACCTCGCTGCCCACGGTTCGCCGCTCTAGCAGGAGGCGGAAACGGTTGCAGGTTCTCTTGTTGTCCTTGAGCCCTTGGCCTAGGCCCCTGTTGTCATCCTGCATTAGCCGCCGGTCCAAGATCACCTCCAGCTGGCCTGGGGAAACAAACAGTGAGTGCTGGCCTGCCCCCAACCCCAAGCAGACACTGACCTTTAGAAGGAGAATCCCAGCCACAGACCCTGAGGGAAAAGCCCAGCTGGAGACACAGAAGCTGAATCACTCAGGAGAGGAGGTCACGGGTTCCCACAGCTGGGAGGGAACCTGAAGAGGGGCTGGTCCTGTGCCGCCTTATTTTGCAGATGAGGAAGCATGAGGCCCAGAAAGGGGCAGGCTGGCCCTGGCAGTTTACCCCCAAAGCTCTGGGATTCAGGAGTAGGGACCAGGCCTAGGGGCCCAGGCAGGAAACTGAATCAGGATGGGTTACATACAACGAAATAAACCAGAAACGAAAAACTTTGATCAACAGCCACTGATAGTGTTGCTGCATACCTCCGTAATCTGGGGCAGGTTTGCTCAGGTTGGGCAGGTTTTGTTGTGACTAAAACACAGGCTCTCCTGCCCTTATTCTACACTGGACAGCCAGACAGCCCCAGCAGGCCAGATTCAAACTCTGACTGCCTGTGTGTTAAAAGTAGGGCTATGGAAAGGACAGCCAGATGGCAAGTCAGGCAGAGGCTCATATTAAGTGTCATCTGGGGTTGCCCCAGGAAAAAGAGATGGCACGTGACCACCTTTGCTTTCTTTTCTAGAGTATGCTTGGAGCAGGGGCTCGGTGCATGGCTGATGTGTTGGGGACAGAGGCCCCCGTGTGTGCAGGTGTTGGAGGTGGGTGCAGCTGTTCTTATACAAGATCTCGAGGGAAACCACACCAGCTGCCCTACATTGCACCGGGACATATGGCCCTATTCTCCCTTTCACCTCTCCAGTCCTTACTGACTTGCATAGTTGCTCAGTCTTTTTACCCAGAACAATCACAGAAAGATGTCTAAAAATCCTAAAATGGATCCCTTGTATAGAAGACAGTCATTTTTTCCATACACCATATCCCAGAAGGGTAGAGGAGAAAATCCAGTCAGGGATATTGGGCTGCTGTTAGGAGTCATGACATAGATGGACCAGGGGCTGCTACTGGCAGAGAAAGGCACACTCCTCCCAGCAGGGAGTCAGGCCCCTGCACTCACCAGCCATCAGACCACGCCTAGCCTTGACTGGGTGCTCTCGACTCAGCCCTTCGCAAGGGCTCTTCCCAGAGATAGATCTCAAGGCCCTCAGATGCCACCAAGTGCAAACTGTTCATTTTGCTCTGAGGATATGGGGGCCACACAGAGATTGCCAACATGACCAGCTGCCCGGGTCTGACTCCAGGCCAGTGTTCCCAATGCCCATTTTGATTCTTTTTTTTTTTTTTTTTTGGGACAGAGTCTCGCTTTGTCACCCAGGCTAGAGTGCAGTGGCCG